GTTGCATATATTTCAAGGAGACTTTATTAAAGTGTGTTTTAGGATCGCCTTTTGCGCTCCTAAATATGATGACCTGGAAAAAGGATCCAGGAAGCTGGAATTTGCTTCCTCCCTGTAAATGCGTCCAGCTGCTTGTGCTAAATTCCCTTAATTTGAAATAACAACTCCAATATCAAACCAATCAGCCTTATCCTCCCCCGCAAAATGGGATCAAGGAGCGAAGTTTTTTTGTTCGGACGTTGCGCGTCGGGATAAAGCGTCTTAGTGGTCTGGCTGTAACGTTTGAACGTAGCCATATTTGCCTTTATCTCTGGACATCTGGAGAGGCGATACGAGCAGGCGGAGAGGAAACCTCGAGACCGCATTTCCCCTCTCATCTGTTTACGGATGCGGAGTTGAAAGCTCTCCTCTGGACCTTCAGACCAAGGCAGAAACCTGGGGAAACAGCGGAGAGTTCTCGCACAAAGGGTTTCCTCTCACGTTGCTGTTTAACGCCGGATCCACAAAGGTGGAGGTGGAAGGGTGGACGCGGAGCCCGTTTGACAAGGGAGCCACGGTTAAAAGGAGTTGGAAATTTAAGGGCGGACAGGAGGGACTCCCCAATGATGGGAATACAGGAAAGGAAGAAGGGTTCTTAATGGGTGCCAAGCTGGATATACTATGGGGTGAAGGAGGAGGACGCTCCCACTGTGCCGAAGCTAAACTGGTCTGGATCTGGTCAGGACCTGGATGGGTGACCGCTCAGGGACCACATGTATACAGTCTTGGGTTCCATGACGGAAGAAAGGCGGAATACAAAACCGAGGAAAATATGTACAACTCACTCGCGTTTCTGTTTTTAAACCTACTTCCTTTCCTTCAGTTGTATTTCAGAAGATGTAGGCTAATAATAATTTAGAGAGATAATGCGGAAGACACGTAGGCACGTTGTCTCCGTCCCCCAGTAGAAAAATCGTGATTCAAAAGTTTTCCGTGTTTCTTCTGTGCTGACCTGGATTTTCCTTAGGGCGAGTGGATATTTACAAAAATAAATCTGGACTCTCTACTTGCAGCTTAATGTAGACTGCTGAATGTATACCTTCATATAAGTTTCCCTGTCAAAATCCGGAGCCTACGGCTTTTTGTTAGAGAAACAGTCCATATATATATATATGGAAGGCAGGCACAATCGCACCTCTTGTGACACAGAGTGTTCCCCCCAACCCCACCCCACCCGCCTGTGTCCTGGCTAAAAGCCTGGCTTGATGGATGAGCAGAAAGAGGGGCAGATTGAAGAGATCGAGGACAACACACAATCGTTATTTTGTGCATGCGTGAGAGTCGTGTGTGTGTGTTTACTGGTGATTTTTTTTTTAACTCTGGAGAATACCACTCCTCCAATTTCCACACTCCACTTCAAATCTGCATGCCCATTCCGTAGCTTCTCTTATTCTCCCGGACTCCAGATGAAGGTACCGTCTGAAAGTGCACTTGCGTGTCAGATCTTCCTTTTTCTTCCTCCCACTCGTCACTTTTTAAATCAGCGATTCAACACACTTGCTTTGTATTTGTCAAACCATTTCCTCTCCCCACCCCCTGGTCACAACACGCTCCTTTTCAAAACCCCATTCCCTCTTTAAAAAAAACAAAAAAACAATGGTTTGCACGTTTGTAATTTCTTCTAGATACAATATTAAGATTCTCAGTAGAACTCTCTCAATCACTCTTTCACACACATCGCCTGTGAAATCACCCAGGGCCTCTTGGGTTAAAAGTTTCTTTCCCTTTGGAGATTCTCTATTCCTAAGCAATTTTGCGCGTGTTTTATTGGGAAGTCAGTCCCTCGCCGCTGCGTCCAAGGGGCCTTATCCTAGGAAGTGTCTTCCAAGTGGAAGCCTTCCTAGGCTTGTCCGCGTGGCTCGTGCTTACGGATCGACTCTTTCACAGTTTAATATAAATACAGCGTTAGGAGCAGAAATAGAAAACTTGGCAAGTAAGCACCCAAACAATCCGCGGGCTGGCAAGTTTGTTTCAATCGGTGCCCTTCCTAGGTTTTAAACACGAGGCTACTTCGCTATAACCCCATCGTCACCACCGCGGTGAGAATTGCAAAACACACACACACACACCCCCATTTGCGTGTATACAGGCGGGCGCACGCTTGCTCCTTCTCGGTCGCCTTAATTCAATTTGCCCCACCGGTTAATGAATAGCTCCATTGTAATCTAATATTACTTACGGGTTATTCTGATTTATTCTGCATTTTCCAAATCAATTACACTCCCTTTTAATTTTTTTTAAAAAACCCATCAGTATAGGGAAGAGAATCTTTGCGCCGCCACCGCACGGCAAGCGCGCGCGCCTGCCTTTCCACCTCGCTCGATCACTAGGGCGCGGGCATTTCTCCCGCTTAGCTTCGCTGCATATTCCGCTTTTGCAAAAAAATTTAAAATCCTCGGAGGAATATCCCGAGGCACGCAGTTTGGCAAAATGGAGGGCGCGATGGCCCTGTTGGAAAACTGGGGGGAGATGTGGGAACCAGCTGCGTTTGCAAAGTGGGGAGCGGATCCGGATCCGGACCCGCTTTCCCGGGGCATCCCGCCCATCCGGCTCTCCGTGTACGGGAAGGAGAAGCCTCGGCTCTGCCTCTCTTCCCCTGGAAACGCTAGAACTTCCCCGGCTGCTGTGCCCATTCTGCGCTGCTGCTGCTGCTGCGACGGCGGGTGCTGCCGGGTCCCCCGGTCCCCAATCCTGCGCAGGGAGGCGAGGCTGCCCGTCCGCCCCGCGGTGCCTGAGCACCACCCTGCCTGGAATGAATGGCTTTGCTTTCAGACTCGCTAATAGTGACTCAGTCCGTTTCCCCTTTTCTTTGCTCCTTTTGATCCTCTCCACTCTTTGACCTTCTTTTGGCTCCAGGGACAGTCGGCTCGGCCTCGGGGGTGGGGGGTGCCTGTGGGGGTGCGCTGGAAACAGTCCCCAGCTTATCTCCTTTCATCAAACCAGCCCCGGGCCCCCTGCAAACCGCGGGGCCAGTAATTGCTTTTTTCAGGCAGCCCAGTGCGGACTGGCGAGCAGCCAATCAGCGCCTTGTTTACACTGGGTGATGGACAGCGGGCTGGGGGACTGCCAACCAATCCGGGCGTCTACTGGAAGTGGGGAAGGGCGGGTTGGAAGAAAGGAACGGGGCGGGGGGGGGAGGAGGAGGAGGAAGGGAATAAACGGAAGGCGGTGTGGTTAACCTCTCCGTCGCCGGTGTAAAATCGGAGGCTCGGTGTGGGGTGTGTGTTTTTGCACCATGCAGCTATTTTTTTTTAATGAGTTTTAATACTATATAGGAAGGAGCAGAGAAAATTATGCGGCCTATTTAAGAAGCAGAATGGCAGGTAATCGAGGGAAGCATAGATGGTTGAAATCTGCCAGCAGAATCGTGATTGCAGTTTGCTTGCTTGTTTGGGTTTTTTGTTTTTTTTTTACAATTTCAGCGAATGCGTTGGGAGCTTTGCTTTGAAGGTGGTTGAAGGATGGGATTAATGGTGATGCGAAGTGTGCGGCGGGTGAAAGAGAGCGAGCCGGGAGGAGGGAAAAGGATGACTGTACAAATAAATAGATCTCGGTTTATGGTAACCCACCTGGGAGCTTGCATGTGCCTCGGCGTAGCGCGAAAGAAGAGGGGCTTCCTTTGCGTCTGGAGAAGCACGTGCTCACGAAGCAGTTGTGCCCCCCCCGCCCCAAATCCCCATGGGAACTCGTGTCCTTGAGCGCTTTAAAGACTCCTCACCCCCCACCCCACCCCCAGCACGGAATATCATCCAGGGATGTTGAAATGCACGGGAGTGCTAGGGACCCCTACGGTCGTAAATCTCTCTCTTAAGTGTTTGGTTTGTAAAGGCATACCTTGCTCGAGAAAAAAGCTGCCGTGAGCCAGGCGCTCCCCCCCCCACCCGCAACGCACTGATCGGTGAAAAGGCGACTTCGTGGCGATGACTGGGCTCTGCCGCTGCAAGACACACACACGCACTGGCCAGCCTAGCTAAGCGAAAGAAACAACAACAAGGCACCCCCCCCTCCAGAAACCCCTCACCACCCAGCTGGCGTGCGTGTGTGGGCTGGAGCCGCTCTCTCTGGTAGGGCTCTTCCCCTCCCCATTCCGCAGAGCTTTCTTCCTTCCCCCTCCCTCCCTCCCTCCCCGCGCTTGCTACGTATCCCCCCATTCAGCAAAGCGGAGGCTAAGCTGCGCGAGGGGAGCTGCGCAACTGGAGGGACTTGAATTAGGCGCCATTGGGTTGAGTAGTAACCCTGCTGCTCTCTGATTGGCAGCTCCCTGGCCCCGCGCCAGCCTATGGGGAAGCCTGTTTACGCAGGGAGAGTGGCACGAGCTTATTACCGTAGAGGGCCGGGCGTCCAATCAGCGAGCGTGCTCACCCTGAGTGAGTGGCACGAGCTTATTAGTATGCAGGGAGAGTTGCTTGCAGGACTGAGCTGCGAGGTTGGGGAAGCTGGAGCCCGCGACAGGGTCTTTTTTTTCCTTTCTGCAAGGAGCAGCAGCCAGTGCATTTACAGTGCAACAGTCAGCACAGTGCAAATACCAGTAGGAATACAACAAAGTCCCAGTCACTGATTTAATTGTATTGCGTTCCCTGTGTGCAAAGGAACACCCCTCCCTCCAGTAAGTAATTGAAATTTATTTAGTATATATATATATATATTTGAAAAGTGCATTATTTGGTTTTTTATTAAAAATATATATTATTTTTATTATTATCGAGCACACCCTCACGGTGGTCAGGTCTGAATTAATTTATTTTTTACATTTTTTTTGCAAAATATTGCTAGCAGAAATTATTTTGAGCTTATTTTTCATTTTAAAGGCAATTCAGACACCTGGTATTCGCTGTGTGTAACATTGATATCCATCCACTGACTAAATTGTATCAATTCCTTAACTAAATTGAATATAATTTAACGACATCCTTGGGGGAAGGAGATGCGTATTGTTTCTAACGAAAAGAAAGCCTGCGAAATACGTGCATGAAGGTTTATTTTATTTCTCAGTGGTTCAGCTGTGCCTTAGAAATGTTGTACCGAGCTCCGGGCAGTACTAACAAAACCCACGATTGTTCGCATATTTCTTACTGAAATTCTAGTTGTTGAATTGTGTGGGGGGTGGGGGTGGTTTTTTTTTCTCCTAACGGAGACGTGAATGGGGCTTTGCAAGACAAACAAACGCAGGCATTGTAGTATTTTTGGGGGGAGGGAGAAGGAATGCATGCAAATGTGTAGCCTCCGTTGTTTAAAAATTAAATCACAATAAAAATTAAATCACAATGCAGGCGAGAGTTAGGGTTTTCTGCTCGACGCTAAGTGCTGTCTGCGACCGAAAGTGTTTCATGCATATTCGGCTATTCCGAACTGCAAAGGGGAAAAAAATTAAAATACTTGGAACAGATGCATTCTAATTTATTTATGCCCCTGTCTGTGTTTCTGCGCATGTATGTCGGTTTTACGTAGGAAGTAAGGCTTTTAAGTTTTGCAGTGGCGAGGAAAATGCCGTCGTGGTGTTGTGAGGAAATGTTTCATTAAGATTGGAGGTAAAGGCCTTTCTTCGTTTGTTTTTGGTTCAGCTTCGAAGGTTGAACCAGGTTGCGTTTTTGCACGGGAGAGGCAAACGTCTTGCAAGGGAGCAGCTGGGAGAGGCGCTTTGTCTCTCGCTCTCCGATCTCTCCCCGCGTCCGCCCCTCTCTCGGTCCTTCCTTCTCGGATCCCTTTAGTGGATCCCTTTAGTGATAGCTTTATTTTTAAAGGGGGGGCGGCTCTGGCCGGAAAGCTACATGCACAGCAATTTCAGTCTGGCATCCTTTAAATCTCTCTCTCTAGATTCAAACACGCACACATGCGATTTGGCAAATAACAAGATTTGGAAAAATGTATAATATTGCATAAAATGCACCGTGGGGTGGCGGGGAGGCGTCGGTGGAGGCACTTTTGGGGCCGATCTCTCCGATTTCTTCGCTGGCCGATGATGCCTAGCGGAAGCTTTCTAGGTTCCCGGCACCGGAAGATCCTTTTGCTCGCGGCCGCTCGAGAGGCCTCTTCGCTGGGCTATAGAAACAGCAAGCACCGCCGAGGCTGGTGGTCCTCTCCCTTCTCCCTGCCAGGCCCGAGATCGGTGCGCCGAAGCGTTTGAAAACTCGCCGGATTTCCCAGTCCCCCGGATTTCCCAGTCCCGCGCGCAAAACCGTGGATACTCGGTAGATTTGACAACACAGTATAAAACTGGATTATTACATTTCCCCCACTCCATTTCTTTCTCTGCCCCCCCCATATATATATATATTTATCTATATATATTGGGGGGAGGGGGCGTAACTGACTGGAACCGAACCGTGCAAATTTGCAACATCCTTTTGTTCCCTTTGCAACGTCTGAATCCTCCGATTCATTCCGAACCTCCTCGCTCCCGCAAGCGTTTTGTTCTTCTAAAGAATCGCCTTAGTCGTTTTGACTATGCGGAAAGCAAGCGCTCCGGATCGAAGCCTCCCGCGAGATCCTCTTATTTTTGTTTTGTTTACCGCGAATGGATCCTAAGGCCCTCCTTGTTCTGCAGATAAGCCCCCGCGGAAGAGGCCGCTGGGGGAAGCCTGGTTTCCTCCTTCCCCTTCGGCTCTCACTACGACCAGGATGGACGCGATCTTGCAGCAAGTCCTCTCTGCGGTACGGGTGGTGAGAAAGCCTTGCTGGAGCACTCAGACCGAAACTTTGCATCGGCCTGCAATCGCGTTTTTCCAGTCAGCTGCTTTATTTCAGTCTTGCACCTCAGATTTTCTTACTGTTTTCCTTCTCCTAGAGAGAAAAGGGGGCGGGAGGGAGAGAAAAGAGAGGAGAAATCCTACACAAGACGTTTCCATTCACGTTGATGTATCGAACCCCAAAGTTGCTGAAGCTGCTAATTTAGCTTTTGTCTTCCAGGCTTCAATTCTTCTCTCCCTCTCCCCCACCCCCCATTTCCCCCCTTTCCTGACTCTTTGAAGTGGGTCCCTCATATATAATCCGCTGGTTTTTACATGATTTTTGTTGATTCCTGAAAGGGAAAAACTGCTCCCCCCCTCATTGTAGAAGACAGAAATCCTTTATAATTCCTTTTAATTGCAAAGCAGAAAAATCTTAGTTGAGGGCAGAGAGATGACCCATTCAGGGAAAGAGAAAAACCCTGCCCTTTTGTATTTAGTAATTTCATTTATTTACAATGCAAAAGCTGCCCATATATTTATATTTTTAGCGTGTGTGTGTGATATATATAAAGCTTATCAGCTGTGCAAATATGTAGTCACTTAATACATTATGTTTTCAGTTGTAGATTAAATCAAACACCAAATAGTCCGGCACTGTTAAAGAGCTGCAAGCGTTGAATCCAGCAATTAAAAACTGTATTGAGTAAATGGGAAGCATCTCACTGTGCAATGCTCTGCCTGTTTACTTAGAAGTACATCCTATTGTGTTCAATGGTGCTTACTGCCAGGTAAACGTGCACAGGACTGCAGCCTGTATGTGGCTTTGTTGTGATTGAGGCACACTACTGTGTGTGTGAATTCTAAGATTTACAATTATGCATTTTCAATAAACTGTAGTCTTTACCTTTTTTCACACACACACCCTTTCCTTTTGGGTTTGGAGGTGATATGAATCCTTCAGACATTATTGAGTCCCAGAAATATTAGATGTGTACAGTAGTCTTAATTGTCTGGACATGGGGGTGGGCAGAAGGGATCTAAATAATTTGGGTGTGTGTCTCTACCTCCCATAGCAGATGCAGTAGGGTAGTCCCCCCCCCATTCATATATCACATTTTTACAGGGGAGTTGCAAATATTTGTAGTTAGAAGTCAGCAAAAAATATTCCAATGCAACACAACCTTGCTTGGTAAATCTGAAGGGGGGGAGAGGGGGGGGCGAGGTGGGTTCTTTTATTCTCCTTTTTCCCTTCCTCTTGGCTTAATGTTACACATTGGTCGTAAGCCAAAAAAACCCCTTACGTGTAAATGGATTGAATGGATAGGAAGGACTTTACATAACTGTTTTGTCTAGGAATACAGTTGTAGGATTTAAACCTCTGTCCTTGGAGGAAGAATGCAAGGCTTTGCCACTAAGGTGTCTTGTGCAGTGAAATATTTGTTCCTGGGCTTGAGTCGTGGAAGGGCACCAAGCTCTTTTTCTCTGGGCTGATCTCCTTTTTCTCTATAGTTTGCTGAAGGGGGCTTTCTTTTTGGATCCCATCAGGCCAACTCTTGCCCATAATCAAAGCCCGTGTACTGGGGAGGGGAGAAATCTCTTTTTCTCTTCAAAATACCCTCACCCCACCCAAAATAACTTGAAAGGCAATTGATCGAAGCTCAATAAATCAGGTTGGGAAACCCCCCCCCCTTTTCCACTGTGATGAAAATAACGACGCATTCGTCTGGTTTGGTTTGCCCATGGAAGAGAGCAGGACAGAGGACCCAAATATTATTGACCAGCTCCGGAGAGAATCCCTTAGCAACTCAAAGGGGGTGGGTGGGAAAGGGTAATAATCCAGTGATTTAAACTCGACATACAACTACAGCAGGCAAATAAAAACTTAGCCATTCGGGAAAAAGATGCATAATTCCATCTTCGTTCCCAGCCCCCGCTCTCGGTTCCTGGGCGCCCTGGGTTTTTTTTGGGGGGGGGGTCTTTTCTTTTTTTCCAACACCTTCCTCTTCGTTTCTCTGCCGGGGGAGCCGCGCAACGCGCAAAGGGGCCGAGCTAGCAGCGCCGAATCGACCGGGGGGGGGGTCTTACCTCTCCAAAATAAATTTTAAAAAGGGCTTGCCGTTCTCTGCGATAAATCCGACGCTCGCTTCGGTAATCGATAAGGATGGCTTGCTTAATTGTGTTGGGAAGCCTCCTATTATTTATTTTTAAAATAATACTACTAAAAATCACCAGTAGCCTTTTGCTGCTATGGCGGGGAAGCCTTGGGTTCCGTGCGCTCTCGGATCGTCCCCGTTCCCCGCTCACCTCCTCCAGTTCCCGGCTGCTTTCTCACGCTTTTCTCCGCTCTGTCCCTCCCCTTCTGTTTTCTGCAGAGAATGAGGCTGGATCCCCGGGGCCAAGAGAAGCGGAGGAGCCGCGGAGGGCTGCCGCCAGCCTCGTGGTGAGAGCGGGGAGCCCTCGGTCCCCGGCGCCTGGTGCGCTGCGCGCTGCCCGTTTCCTTCCGCGGAGGGGGACCCTCCTGCCCGCTTGCCCGCCCGTCGGTGCCGCTCGCTCGCTCGCTCTGCTGGCCTCCCTTCCCTGCTGGGGCTTCGGCGGCGGCGGCAGCAGCGCGGCCCCGGGATGGATGGCCGCGAGTTCGCGCCGCCGCCTCACCTCCTGGCCGAGAGGGGCCACCGCAACAGCTCCAGCCGCCTGGCTTCCTCCGGGCACAACTCGGTGCAGCACGCGGGGCACTTCCAGCCCGGGAAATACTTCCCCTCGCCCATCTCCATGGCTACGCACACAGGTCAGTGGGGGCACCGGGGTGAGGAGAGGGGAGCAGAGGAGGATCGGGCCTGGGAGGGAGGGAGGGAGAAAGAGGGGGAAGGGCCCGGTCACTTTTCTTCCTGGCTGCAAAAGGGTCGCGATCGCCAAAGGATGGGCGCGCAATTGTGCAAAGATTATATATTTACTGTTAAAAAAATATAAATTGCGTCTTGATCTTGAGGCCGATCGATCCTTGCTCCGGTTGCATCCGTGCAGAAAGATCTCAACAGCTTACTTAAGAGGAGCTCCCCCCCCCCCAAAAAAAAATAGAGTTGAGGGGAGAGAGATGTTGCAATTAATAGATTCACCACTGTAGATCGGCTGCTCTTTGCAAATGCCCTTTCCGCTAACGTATTTTGTTTCTTGTTTTGGTTTTATTAAGCATTAATAATTTCTAAATTTTTAATTAAAAAAAAAAACCCTTGGAAAGAGGGGGCGCGGGCGCGGGGACAAACAAAAGCCCTCAGCTGGCCTTTGATTGCATGGAGGGGCCGGGACAGAGATTCCATCGCATGCAGAAGCCGAGGCAGGCATGTTAGAAAGGGGAAATCATCATAATTCAAGAGGATTCGGAGGGTGGGAGGAAGGGAAGAACGGAGGCACGGTTTTCCTTTCCTTTCCTTTTTTTTTTTTTGCAACATCTTTTATATGGTAGAATGGGGGGTTCTCAAAAGTGAGGGGGAGACGGCCCTTTTGCCCTTGGCTAATAATTCATAATGATGGGGGCGCACGTGCAGCTCGGTTTAGTGGATGTGGAAGAGGAGGAAGCTGTATATTTTCTCTCAAATCTGGATGTACCAGGCTGATAACAAGCTAAATGCGTCCCGTCCTCGTTCTCTAGCCCTCTCCCCCCCCCCCCGCCCCTGGCAACCCACATATTCCTTACCGTGGAGTCTTCCTTTTTTTAAAAAAGAAAAATTTAGTTATGGGGGAGATGTGGTTAAAATAAGGGCCTTTCCACCCCCTACCCCACCCCCTTAGTAGCTGGAACTGAAGGGAAATAAATCCCACAGAAGAGAAGAGGGGGTGGTGTATGGGGGGGGGAAACCCTTTTTCTGCATTAACATCCTTAAGAAATTCTATTGCCTGAACAAAAAGGCTGTTATTTGCCAGGGAAGGGTGAGCACCCAGGAGCCAGCTATGCTCTTTCAGATTAGGGGTAGCTGTATGTGCAGGGTTAGCATTAATAGAGCGGGTGGTGTAAGACTAGAAAATCCTGTTTCTATATAAAGCCCTGAAGTGTCAGGGTGAGAATGGGTTTGCAGTGCATGTGTTAGCTTTAACAAGTGCTTGTGGTATCCTGCTAAAGACACAAAGTTTGGCAAGAAAAATCAGAAGTGGGGGGGTTGTATGTGCCAGGAGATTGTCTGTGGCATCAATTAGTTGTTTGGGAGAAGGGAATGTACCAAATAGAATCTATCGGGGCTAGCTAGCTGGATGTCAGGACACACAAAATTTAAACATCCACTGTATGCTAAACGACCCAACTCCAAAATTCAGAATCTCGTTGGAGGTAAGAACTATACCGTCTTGGAAGTCTTCATTAACATCCTTGTATACGATGAGGAGAAAGGATTTAAACTCACGAGGCTTGGATGCAAAAATTCCCAGGATTGGAATTTTTCCCGAGGAAGGAATAAGAAAATGCTGAGTAAGGGAATATGACTCTGTATATTTTGCCTTTTGTTTCTGGGTATTTGTAGTCTTTTTGTTTGCGAAGGGTTTGATTTAGCTGTACTGGATTTATTTTTGGAAATGACATTGCTCTTATCAGGGATAGATAGTTTGGAGTTAAAAAACATTTCGTTTTCACTGTGAATGTTTGAATTTGTTTTCAGTGTAACCTAACCAGACTCTATATTTAACCCAAAGTCGATAAATGCATTTCTGTCCTCAAAGTTTTTGTCATATGGTTGATTTTCAAAATGCTGTGGCAGCCTCTGAATATGTAGTAAGCACCTTCATTTTGTGTATATTGCATATTGGCTATATATTTATGGTAGTGGGGATTTAATCTTAGATTTACAAAACCACACACAGCCAATTAAGTTTTGTTTACAAGTTACTTTAAACATCAGAGCAAAAAAGAAAAAAGATGTTGCAGTTTTTATTTTTCTCTAAACTCAGCAGTCACAGCCATTGTTGTTAGCTTGATGAACTGTGAATGCTAATAAAATTATATCTGCTTTAATGGGATTACAATTAGTACATGGATTAAAAAAGATGGCATGAGGTAAAATTATCTACTGGGAGTGCAACCCAACGTTTATTTATTTATTTGTTTAAAAATACATACCCAAATTCAGAGTTCTTAATGGACTTTTAGCACGATCAGATTTAAAAAGTGCTAACAAATGTTATGTGCAACACAAGTTACTTGTGCTTTATTTGAAATAATTGAATCGTAGATTTGCAGGGTTTTCTCTAGGCTTTAGATTTTATCCCTTTTCTTTAAATAAAATAGAAGATGCTCATTGGAGTGAAGTCGTCTTCTTTTTTAACCTGTTAGGTTCAAACAACACCAGGAAAGAATTTTAAAATGCAAACCCAGGCAAATTGGATGAGGAGTATGATTGGTGTCAATCATTGTGCTTTTCTTCCATAGTCTGGATTCAATACCCCTTGTTCTTCTTCCAAGCCATATGAAACCCTTCTGTTGATCTCTTTTATTTTTCTATTCTATTGTGGGGGTTTTTTTTTTCTAAAAAATGAGAATTTTGATTAAGCTCATAATTAGAAATATGGGGAAGGAATTCTGTTCCTACAGCCTCTTTTCCTTTTGAATGTGTGCTTTTAATGTTTTTTGTTAGGTGCATTTTCCCCCTTCCCTTTTCTTTTTTTACGTTCAAGAAGCAAACTGTCAATTCCCATAGAATAAATTATTGATGGAATCTTGACACTGATGCACAATTATAATACAGGGAAAGGCCTCTCCAAAACCAGAGGTCACAATATGTGAATATACAGGCTCGGCTGTGCTGAATCTTTGCCAGGTGCTTTTCATTATTATTGTTGTTGCTGCTGTTGTTGTTTGTTGTTGCTGTTATTAAGTCTATAAAGGACGGTAAAGTCTGCCTAAGGTTTCTTTTTCCTTTTACACTTGGAACAAGCAACACACTTATCTCCTTGTATCATTCAACAGAGGTAGGCAAGAGACCCTCCCGCTTATATATAGTATAGTTAGTTTAATACTTAGGGCCTCACTCGCTCAAAAGAAATAGGTTGGGAGGGGCTGGTTCCGTCCGTAAGCTGCGTTTCGGGCACCCACAACTCTTTGGGCAACTAAAGCAGAAACAAAAACCGAGCACAGAATTCCAAAAGGCCGGATGCAAAGCAAATCCACTGGGAGAAGACTGGAAAGCAAAGTGCTCTTGCAAGAGTGCGCTTAATTTTTATGTCCACTCGGACGAAATTCCACAAGGCATGCATTCACCGTTCAAGCATATATTCCAACACTCCCTTCTCTCTGGATTTCTTTCCCCATGGAGATCTGGTGTACCCTCCCTATTCCTTTCCTCAAACAGTTCCCCCCCCCCTCTCTTTCTCTTTGAAACAACAACAACAACCTGGCCAACGAGACCTTGGATTTTTTTTTTTTTAAGCTAGCTTTTAGCGTTTAGCAAATTGTTTTTCTTAAAGCAGAGTGCTGATAGTTTTATAATCCTGCTGTAGAAATTTTATGGTAAAGCGCTGTTATAGTAACCTTGTCACAAAAGGTGCAATTAAAATGTTTTGTCTCATTATTTTTCTCACAGCATTAGATTTGTGTGTTTGCGCGCGTGTCTCTAATGCAGATGGTCCAAAGTCAAAGCTGTGAAAAAAAATATTATTATTTTTTTTTAAAAAAGGAAGGAAGGAAAGAAAAGGATATTAGCAGCATTATTCATCATTACTCCTGCCTGGAGCTGTTTGGATTTTCACATTGCAGTTGACTCTTATTTGGTATTCAAACGAGAGTCCTACCAAGAGGGCTGGTGGAAGGAAGGGAGACCCAAATGCTATCCGTATCCCCCATATCTGAGGAAGGTAGCTGCGCGCCATTCAATTCCCCCTTAAAGGTTGGCTGGAAATACTTGCCTGAAATAGCTTGTGCAGGTACATGAGATTAAAAAGAACCAATTGTAAGTAATTGACAGGAAAAAGAAAGCACGATAGCTGCCAGGAACGGGCTTATGCTTCCAGCGAGCATAGCAAAGGATCTCAAAACAGACATTTCTTATGAATGAAAACTGTCGCAGCGGTCCTAGGCTGGAAATTTCCTTGGGAGTAATAGGGTGGGGGTTTGGGTTTTTTTTTTGTAGATGTAGGTACCGTTAAATCCAGTGATAGGAAGAAAGACAATAAATTCCTGGGAAGGGAGACTCCGTTGCAGGATTCACCCCACCCTACAGTTTCCTCATCTGGCATGCTTCCCCTACCTGCCCCTCTTTTAAAGAAAATACATTTTAGTAAATACCTCATTAACTATCTAACACCAGTGGATGTTTCTGCAACACAGTTCCTAGCATTAAATAGGTGCTAAAGGAGTTACTGTTCAAAGGCATGTTCTAAAGACTCTAACCATCTTTACTTATAAATGACAAGAAGCATGAGACATCAAAGGCAAGGCAGAGATAACAGCAAGGAACTGCCAGCGCTGATCTTTTGCACGGGAACTGCAAGGCGCACATGGTTACACAAGGTGGTTACGGTTGTACACGAGAGAGGGAGAGGGAGAGAGCGCACAAAAATTAAAGTTCAAATTTGAAATGTACATTATCCCACTGGGAATTGCTTTGCCATCATGTCTAATTATTCATATAAGAGGTAGATTTCCCCCCCTACAGGAGCAACTAGGCGCGCTGTGTGTGTGTGTGTGTGTGTGTGTGTGTGTGTGAGACTATGATGCTAATTTAGAGGCAAGGCAATATTTCCACGTGCAGAACAAGTTTCCCAGTACAAAATTTACACCACTGCTTCGAAATGGGCCTTAGCCTCGGA